GTTATGAAGTAGCAACGAAAATAATTTTATGGTTGGGTCACAACATGAGGAACTGTATTTAAAGGGCCAGAAGGTTGAGAACCACTGGGTTGGAGCATCGTCCTGATACGCCAATGTTGCAGGTTCGATCCCCGGTCAAGGAACATACAAGAATCAACCAATAAATGCATAAGTAAGTGGAACAAGAAACAGATGTTTCTCTCTCTTTCCTCCCCCTCTCCCGCTCCTTCTTTGAAATCAATACATAAAATGTTCTTAAAAGTTATTGAGGTGAATTGTTTTTTCCAAAATAACCACAGCAGTCTCTCCCACCCATGTTCTTCTGCACTGTGGCCCTCACACTCCATCATAAGAAGTGAGGTCATTACCTTCCCTTTGCATCTGGGTTCACCTTAGTGATTCACTTGTAAGCAACAGATTGCAGCAGAAGTGACACGGATGTCTCCTGAGACTGATGCAGAAGATATTTCAACTTCTGTCCCTTTAAATGCCTGCTCTCCGGATGATGCGCTTCCCTGCTCACTCCTTCCGGGAAGCCAGCTGTGATCTATGAGAAGCTGCAGCCACGTGGAGTTCTACGTGGAGACATCGTGGCTGACAGGCTCCATCCACCACTGAGTTCAGCCTTTGAGTCATCACAGCCCAGAAATTAGACAGATGAGTGAAGCCACTTTCAAATGAATTCCTGCCTCCAGACGATCAGATCTGCCAGGACAATCATCCCTGCCATGCCCCGCCTGACTTCCTGACCCACAGAATCTAGGAGCCTAATAAAACTAAGTTTGGGGTGATTTATTATGCACAAGCAATAACAACAATAGTTAATAAACAGTCCAAAAAATCATTACTGTGACTTTGCTTCCTGATCCTAGGAAGACGGACTGGCTAGTGAAGAGCCTCAGTGAATTAATTTAATCTAATTCTGGCCTGATACAGTGAAATATACACATGCTCTAGGACGGTAGCTCCCTAGTTTGAGATTGAGAGAATACATTGCTCATAGTTCAATGAGAGACTGGGGGGGTGGGGGGGAGGACCCTTCCCTCCATGTTGAAAATTTTACCACTGAAGGAATTACCCGGCTGGTCTTGTGCTGGATTTATAACGCTACACCCACAAATATTCAAGAGGTTAGATTAGCTGGGATTAAACTCAGAGGGATGCTGGAAGGGCACCAAAATGTCTGCTCTCCTTCCTGCCCAATTGGGTCCACTGTAAATAAAACCTGACAGGCTTTCTTAAATCAACTTAATAATGTGAAGCACAAGTGCTTTCAGATGCCCAGTAGCTAAACCACATCAGCTTTCTGAGGAAGCCTTCTAGCAAGAGGCGAAAATAATAATGGATGCTGCCAAGAGGGCCGTGCACAAGAGCGCTGGTGGCCTTGAGTGACTCACTTCCCAGGGCTCCATCCATCGATCCTGGAAGGTCAGAGGGGGAAGGAGTTGGGGTTTTAATAACCAAACTCCGGCCTCAACCGACTCGTGAGAGCCAGATGCTGTCATGTTGGAAGCAGATGAGAACACAGTTATAATCGATCTGGAATCCTGATGAATTCCAGGTGCACGTCCCAGCAGCCTGGGGGAGCTGGTAGCGCAGAGCCCTCAGAGGGTGTTATTACTGTCATAGGAGGCTATTCTGTTGCAGAGTCTATGGGGCCTTGGGACTTTTTCCCTCTGATTTCAAATGGGAGTATCTTTTTTTCCAGAGACAATTTCTCAGATATATCAAAGGATATAATGGAAAAAAGTAGGAAGACCAAGAAAGTTGAAGAGATCAAGGTCAAGGTTCCTAAGGAAATTGGATTAAATATGGGACTTATAACTCTCCAGTTGATGTCCTTAACCAGTAAGTGCAGTTTCATGACCCAGCAGATTGCTAGCCATGGTCCATACCATTTGAGAGAGAAGAGAAAGCATGACCAGGATCCCAAATAGTTTCATGGTGGCTGGACATCGAGGCACAGCATGGGAGTCCAGCCACATTGGAGGAGCACCTGCCCATTTTCCAGGCCTGTTTCTCCACATCCCCCAACCAACCCTTTCCTCTGCACGGGAGAGTCAGTTTCTCCTTCTTGCAGACAAGATCCTGAACTAATGCAAACACTGAAAGAATGACTATGCCTTCCAAATGTCTTTTTTCCCTACCTGCCAGGCCAAACGCTCAAAAATATATATTGCCATGCAACTAAGAACGTACCCTTTTAGGGAAGATGGTGATATGTTTGCCATGTGGATAAACTAGCCAATGAAAACAAACATAACTCCTTGTTCTCACCCTGGTCCTCAATTCAGGACCATACATTTTCATAAGGAGATGCTTCAACACCAAAACCAGATGCTTTAATTCCATTTGAAAAACAATGAAAGAGAATAGAATTCAAAGAGAAATTAACAGCTGACAACAGTTTAGTTTTCATCTACTTGCTACACTCACATGGTCAGGTATGTCACAAACCATGATTAGTACAAGTCTGCCATCTGAATCTATGTAATTACAACTCATTTATCATCATATACATTGAGGTGCTTAGTAACATCAGGCATAGGCCCCAACCCCCTCTAATGCATATACTTTATGCAAAAATGAATACTGATGCCTGATACCCCATTCCCCACTGTAAAAACAGGGATCACCCCTCTGAAGGCAATGAATGGAATCCCAACTTACTAGATATTTCTTGAGGGCAAAGACTCCTCTGGCCCACTCCCTGGTCTCCTGGTACCTGGCATGGTGCTCTCTCTGCCAGGGGCAGCTCAATAGGTATTACTCACTGACCAAAACCCTACTTACACAGGCGTCTGAGATCATAGGACAACTTTTCCTAATCAGGAACAGCTGGCTCCCAAACCACCCTAAACCCAGAAGATTCCAATGACATTTTGGCTAAAAAGATTACAGAACACACCCTTCACTATGATGTTTGAGGGGAAAAACATCCACTCACATAAAGATGGGAATAAAAGAAAACAAAAACAGGCAGAGATTTAAAAGACTGGGCTGTGAGTGGTATTACATTAAAAAAGGTCAGCACAAAAACACTGTTTTTACCCTAACACTGAAAAGGTAAATAGGATGATGCTCTTGTGACTTATCAAGGAAGGTCACAAGGAAGTTTTCAGGGACAGGCTCCTGCCCTGTCCTCATTCATGGCGATGAGAATAATTCCTTTGCTTGGTCTGGCCACATGCGCACCATGGCTTGAGGTTAATGCAGGCCAAGAGCGCACACAGAGCCAGCTCTGTCCTTGTCCCTTCTCCCACATGGCACAGCTTCTTGTAGATGCAAATGCCAGCCCAAGGAAAATCAGAACTTGAAACACCCACCATTACTCACTTACAAGTAATTATAGAAAAGAGGCAGATTTTAGTTAAAGCTCTAAAATTTCGAAGTCAAAATTAATTAGTTCTCATCGAGACTAGCCAGTTATTAGATTTAGAGGATTACTTTTTTTTCCCATCTAAGTATACACTACACCCTAAATGCCTAAGTCATAAATGATTCTGACACCTGACAGCTAAAACTCAATTCTGCAAGTATTTGTGAGCCTACTATGCATAAGAAAGGCATTCTACCTAACCTAAGAGAAAGCAAAATTAACATTCCCCTCATAAATTACTGAATTTAATTAATACTGATTCTATACCTTCATAATTTTAGGACATCATGTGGCCTGCAGTATAATGCTCATTATATAGCTCATTTTATAACAAGGCTCACTGATAACTGTATAGTACGTGCTTTTGACATGAAAAAGACTTGCTCTTTTCATATATTCAAAGGGGGCAAGATGGGGGGAAGGGCCCCAAGGTCCTGTCTAACTCAGCGTTTCCCTCAGGAGATCCACACAGAACTGGGCCCAAATATCACCCGAAAGGAAGTTCAAAATAAGGCGCACCAAACCCCGATCCTGGCTCTGTCCCTCACCTGGCATGGGACCCCGGGCCAACATGCATTGGAATCTTAGCTTATTCTTTTATAACAGGGAGATATTAGTATTTGTCTCACAGATGTTCGTACAGAATCCAGTGATTTCCTGTGTGTACCAGGCACAGCCCCTGGCCTATCGCAGGCCCTCAATAAATCCTAGCTGGGTTCTACTCCAGAGGCTCCCAGGAAAGATGGGAGAGAGTACGGAAGTCCCCTGATATCTGGATTGTAATCTAGCTTCTGGGTATTAATCCAGAAGCGTCTGGAGTCGAATGGGATTGACAGAAAAGGCACAGCTTGGCTCACGGTCCCATGGTAACCTGGTAAGCTGGGGCTCCAAGTGCCTTCAATTACTTTGTAATGTCTCCCCTCAAAGCAGCCTCAGATGTGGGGCACATTCCAGGGGACCCAACAGGCACTATCCTTGGCTCTGTAATGCTGCACACCGCCACTAAGGGAAACTGGCTATTATTCCAGTTTTGAGGTCTTGGTACTTTGGCCCGGAACCCTTAGTGTCCTATTATTCATACGTAATTGTTTCTTCTTTTGCCGTCATTTAATTCCCATGGTCAATGATGCATATCCATTGGTTTATTGTTTTCCTGGGAAAGCATCACCTGTTTAAGATTACTAGCTGCTAACATCAGTGTCTATATATATATGTGATAAGTTTTTCATAGCATCCAGCAAAGTAATGACAATACATATGATTTGAGGAAAAGAACTATGATGAATGAGTTCATGAAATTTACATGGTGGATGCTCAAGTATCAACCATAATGAAAACCACATACATTTAATAAAACCTGTTTTCAAACTGCCTATGCCCTGTTCTCCAAAGGAAAATGAGTACTGCAAATAGTTTTTAACTTTTCTTGGATATGAGACACCATTCCACTTAAGCTATGTAGACTAAGTTCATTGCTACCCGCTCACTGACGTCTTAGAAAAGTAACTATTATACCCCTTACACCCTAGAATGAATAAAAAAATTAAATCATTCTATTCAAAGATGTCCAAACGTAAGATGTTTGCATGAGGATTCTTTTTAAAACTGAAAAGTATCCTACCTCCTTAAAGTTGTCAAATGCTGATAAAATGATTTCATGCCCGCCTCTGACAAGACAAACGGCTGCCAACAGTTCTAACACAAGGGCTTTTGTTCTGTCAAAACAAGAAGAAAAAGAAAAAACCACGAGTCAGTGAATGTGACAAGATGAATCAGCTGTTCCTGGCATCCAAGATCAATATAATAAAATATTTGTCTGTATGCTTTGTAAACTTTTATAAGGTATACTTACACTAAAGTACATATTTAAACCTTTACCTATCTCTAGAATATGTGATTTATCTAGGGTAGCAAATTTGGAAGGCATGTTTCCCACTCTCTAAGTTACAAATTACTCACTAATGAAAATTAATTCTGGAAAGATTCATCTTTTAGTCCCATCATCAGATGACTCAGTACAGTGTGGTTGAAAAGGTTTATTAGTGATCTAAAGACAAGAGGAAACTTGGGAATATTCAAGAAAACAACTCACTGTTAAATATTGTCTCTGGTTTTAGAATCAGAGACATAACATTTGCCAAGAAAGTTCAAAATCGATTGAAATTAATGCCCTACATTTCACATCTGCTAATTTGCACATGGCGCCAGAAAAATCCCCTGCGACAATGCAAGTTTCCATCCTTTCTTCTTCCTCTGCAGGAGGTGTGAAAGGATCTGGATTTCAGCTCTACTAATATGAGAATATTTTCTGTAACTCAAGGAAAGAAAATAAAACTCCATCTGAAATATTTTTAGGAGAACCTAGAGATACATTCCAAGCTCCTTAATACAATGTCAAGGATAGCACTGTTTCTTCATCTTAAGATGACTTCAGTGTTTCACCATTTTCTGGAATAAAATCTATTACTGACCTCTAAACAAAGACCATTCTGATAACCCACAGCGTCAGTTATCTTAACTAAGATGAATAGTGACTTCCCGTGGGGTAAGACAGGGACACAGAAGCATGACTACTTGGGATTCTTGTAAACTAAAGAAGCAACCATGAAGTTACAAAAGCTTTAACCCGGGGAAGTTTGAAGCCATAATATTAACATCTAAATAGGACTTCTTGCTTTGCATTGCATTCCAGATCAGAAAGGATCTAATTTATAACCAGATTTCTTTACTTGAATTAACAGTTTTCAGATAGGTATTTTACACAGAGGTGTCTGATAAAGGGGAATAACACATTTCAAATGCAGAGGGCCTCACCAGAATGTAAAACATGTTAGAATAGCTAAAATAAACTGATGAAGGCAGGCTTCCAGAAGTAATCTGTCATGTGAATAATATGGGGCACCGGCCTTTATAGGAAAGTGAATATAAAGTGAAATCTGGCCCTGGCTGGTATGGTTCAGTGAATAAGAGTGTCAGCTCCCACAGGGCAGGGTCATGGGTTCGATTTCCAATCAAGGGCGTATACCTGGGCTGCAAGTTTGATTTCTGGCCCACCCCATTTGGGGTGGGTGTGGGAGGCAACCAATTGATGTGTCTCTCACATCTATGTCTCTCTCTCTCTCTCTCTCTCTCTCCTTCCACCCCCCTTCTCCCTCCCTCTCTTTAAAAATCAATGGAAAAAAATATCCTCAGGTGAGGATTAACAAAACAAATCTGCAAGCACAATTATTGTTTTGTTTGTGTTTCACTTTTGGTAATAAAAGCTACAGATCTAAATATTGCAAGTGAAGTGTGGACAAGGGATCATGGTTCTAGTTAGCTTTCGGCAATACCTGGTAAGTCTGTATGAGGACTGGCAACCTGGCAACCTCATGCTCTCCACCAAATTTTGCTAAATTTGCAAGGATGCTGAGAACTAGGTCCCAAAAGGAATGAAAGCTTAAAGAGAAGAGAGAAGGGCTGGAATTGTCACCAGTTGCTCGACTCTGCCACATGTAAGAATCTCACTCAGCTGGTCTACACAGCAAGGAGTCTACTGGTAATCTTATTTCAAAGAGTCACACTTGCAAATTTCCAAACTCTAACTTTTTTGGTGTTG